GAATCTCAAAGGGCCTTCAAATTAAATGAGTTTTATATAATGTGAATTTTTTGATTTATTAAATATTTTTAATAGAATGGACGGCCAAGATAATTAAAAAATAAGTAGAATGGATGAACAAGATTTGTTGGAGGAAGGAAACTCAAGCCCCTTTTATAATAGTAGTATAGATTTGTAAGGTTTTAATACACAAGTTTATCTCTGTCATTTCCTATGAGCCTTTACCGTTTCCTTCTGCAGTAAATGCATGTTGAACATCAAACGTCTCTACATTTATCTGTTGTAAGAAATAACTCTCTAAAATTTCCCCTTTGTTTTATTACATCACGTCAAATTTGTTTTTGTTCATTTCAATTGTACCAAAAAGCCAAATGTCACACCTCCCATTCATATGACATGTATTAATCAAAGAATTAACTAATAATAGTTTTAACTTTTAATTGCGTTATAATTTATCATAAGTAATAATAATTACATTAATTATAATTAAACTTGTGTAATAATACTTGATACGTCATCAAAAAAATTATCTTGATCGGGCACGAATCTCGAGACAAAATCAAGTTGGAAACTTCTGAAATTAAAATTGGGACCAATTGAACTATAATTTCAGCAAACTTACAGCCAAACTGAACGTCATGGAAATACGAACCCAACAACACCAAATTTGACTCAATCCGAGCCCAAATGAGTTCAAATCAAGGGCCCAAAGCACTATTGAAATGTTTGAACCACAACTTGGATTAGCAAACGGTTTTCAAACATTACATGCTTATAGTCGAATCGAGCGGCTCGACGAGACAAATCCGTCGGACCACCACTTGAGGCCCTAAGCTCCATCGGACCACCACCTGATGCCCGAATTTTTGCCAGACCACCACCAAAGGCCCGAACTTCCGCCGGGCTACCACTTGAGGGCCTTTGCTCCACCATCCCACCACCTGAGGCCCGAACTTCCTCCTCAACCACCGCCTAAGTTCCACCGGACTTCTGTCGGATCACCGCTTGAGGCCATGTGCTCCACCAGGCCACCACTTGAGGCCCGGACCTCCGCCGGACCACCACTTGAGGCACTGTGCCTTCCAGGCCACCACCGGAGTTCCGTATTTCCGCCGGACCACAACTTGAAACCTTGTGCTCCACCAAGACACCACCTGAGGCCCGGACTTCCACCAGACCACCACTTGAGGCTCTGTGCTCCACCAGGCCATCGCCTGAGGCCCGATCTTCCGTCGGACCAGGACACCACCTGACGCCCAGACTTCTTCCAGGCCACCACTTGATGTAGAGTTCTCCTGGAGTATCGCCATTCTATCACAGTCTTTTGAATCCCTATCTCATGCCGACTATGGTCCTTCCAACCAAACAAACACATCTATGTTGATTATTGTAACTCCCACCATATAATGCGATCTATATGATGTACATTTGTGACATCAAGCCAAGGCCTTCTCCTAAGGAAGGGACTCATTTGTAATCGACTGCAAATATTAATGGATTCATTCAAACTGGGCAAGACCCTATGGTTTTTCACCCTTTTAAGGAGTTTCCACATAAAAACTCTAGTGTCTCTTATGAACGATACACCCTCTCTCTTATTTGATTGTGTGTTGGATCTTTGTGCAATGCTAAGATGTTAAACTTCATATTTCTCTACCACTGCGAATGCTCCAGGATGCAACAATACTAAACTATTTAAAATTATTTTTGAAATTTAGCTTTATTTTTACCGCTTCTTTGTCTTTTTAATAAAAATTTTGTGTGTTATATCAGGATTTCAAGTTCTTATATTTTTTGTAAAGCTAATCAAGGTTCTGTTTGGGGTAGCCTAAGCTTTTCCATTTTGTTTTTAAGAGCTTTTTTCTCATTCATAACTTCAAAAATATTATTCTAAAAATAATCTTTTTTTTTTGATAAAAATTTAAAGTACGATGAAAAACTCTCAATGTAGCATTTTTTTACTAACTATTTTTCTTAGTATTGCGTCCCGGAATATTTGTATCAGTAGAGAAATATAAAGTTTAAAGTCTTAGCTTTGTAAGAAGATCCGACACATGCAAATAAAGGGAGAGGGTATAGCGGTCATAAGAGACAATAGACTTTTTACATTGAAACACCTAAAAAGAGGAAAAAACCACTGGGTCTGGCCCAGTTTGAATGAATTCACTATTATTTGCAGTCAATTACAAATGAGGCCCTTCATTGGAGGGAAGGCATTGGCTTGATATAACAAGTATACATCATATAGAATGCATTACATGGTAAAAATTAGAAGAATCTATTTTGATATGTTCATTTAGTCGGTACAATCATAGTCGACGAGCGTCGGACGTCAGAAAGATTATAGTCGGGACGGAGGTCTAGAGGACCGTAGTCTACAGAAGACATGGGTCAGAAAGACCATTGTCTAGTGATCTAGGTTGGAAGGACCGTAGTAGGTGACAAAGGTCAGGAAGATCGTTGGTGGCCGGTGTAAGTCTAGCAGAAATCTGGGCTTCAAGCAGTGGTTCAGCAGAAGTATGGGCCTCAAGTGATGGTTCGATAGAAGTCATGGTCTTAGGTGATGGTACAGCGGAGCTCATGGTGTCAAGTGATGGTCCGGCAGAATTTCGTGCCTCAAGTGGTGGTTCGATAGAAGTCTATGACTCAGGTGGTGGTCCGGCAGAAGTTCGGGCCTCATGTGGTGGTCCTGTAGGAGTCTGGGCCTCAAACGGTGGTCCGGCGGAACTCCAGCGTCATGCATTGGTCTGGCGGAACTCCGATGTCATGCGATGGATTGGCGGAACTCCGGGCGGTGGTCGAGGAGGAGCGATGAGGCAAGGGAGATATCCGATCTCTCTCTTGCTCTGTTGCATGGGGCCCCTTTTCAAGAGAAAGGGAGCTCTATTTATAGATTTCCTAGAGTGACATGGCTCGTAAATAGGAGAGAGAACATGGAGTAAATGGGGAGTGGTTTGGATTGACGGCCAATGTTGAGTCCCTTGATCGTGGACCATTCGCTAGACATTTGAATGTTTTAATGATGTTGGAATTCCATGATCTTGGGCTTGTTGGATTCGTCTAATCGAGCCGCTTGATTCAACTATAAGCATGTCACATTGGAAATCATTTGGTAATCCAAATTGTGGTTTGAACATTCCAACATCTCTTCGGGCCCTTAATTTGAACCCATTTGGGCTCAGATTGAGTTGAATTTGGTGTCGTTGGGCTCGTATTTCCAAGATGTTCAGATCAACTGTAAGTTTGCTAACATTGGAGATCAGATGGTCCTAATTGTAATTTCGGAAGTTTCAACTTGATTTTCCCTCGAGATTGCTGCCCGATCAAGATAATTTTTTGATGATGTATCACTTCGCATGAGAGCAGTCGAAAAGATGCTGCAAATAAAGTTAAATAGTCAATTTAGCACAGCTTCCTCGTTGTTTTACTTTTTAGAAAACAATAATAATTTTATTTGATAATTGCTTTCTCTTTGCTTTTCAAAATTTTTGTAGTAAATAATTATTTTTTGCAACTATAATAGTTAATTTATTTTTCCTAAAGTAACTTCACAATCAACTTTATAAAACCATACAATCTTCCCAAATAAATGCTAAATTATGCAAAACATTTATGTTGACTGTTTTGTTCAATTATTATAGTTACAAAAAAACAACTTTTTACTAGTAAGTCATTTTAGGAAGCAATATGAAAAGTTTCCCAAACGAAGCCTTAAATTCATCTAAAAAGCATGTATCTTTACACAATTCTTCAATATCAAAGTACTTATATCAAAATGAGATGAATACACAACTCACCTTAGTCTGTTGGTTGAGAGTAGGGGGGTCAATTTCGGGTCACGGATCGGGTTCGGGTTGAACCCGAAACTAACCAGGCACTATTATGGTCAACCCGAACCCGACTCATTTTTAAAAACGGGTTAGTTTTCCTGACCCGAACCCGACCCGCTTCGGGTCCGGGTCAACCCGACACAACCCGAATGACCCGTTTCCAACAAGAAAATGGCTAATTTTCGGGTCAAAACGGGTCAATCTCCTCTTTTCGGGTCAAAATGGGTCAATCTCGGGTTGCCTGGTCAAAATCGGGTTTTCGGGTCAAAATCGGGTCACTTTCGGGTCAATTTCGCGTCAAAGGGTTAACCCGAACCCAACCCAATTTTTGAAACGGGTCGAAATGCTGAACCCGAACCCGACCCGTTTCGGGTTCGGGTTGACCCTAACCCAAAATTTTCGGGTCGGATTCGAGTCGGGTTTTCGGGTCGGGTCAAATATTGACACCCCTAGTTGAGAGCTTAGGCTACCAACTAAGAGGTCTTGGATTCGATTCTTTGTGTATGCGTTATGTGTGTGAATTTGCCTTAAATGAACTAAATATATAAAAAAAAGATGAATCTAATGAATTCAAGATCATTAAGTTCTGATATAATTAAAACATTCAAATACTCACAAAATATAAGATATTTAAGATAAATCACTTATGGTCATTTAATGAAGGGTTCAAAATTTATCAAAAAAATGCTGAAACAACTAAACCAAAATTCATAAACAAGCCATCAATTCAAGCTAAAAAGGGACTATATTTAGAGAGAGTTCATGTATTTAAAATTGCTAAATATCTTCCGGTCGATCTATAATGACCATTGAAGAGTGCATACACCAACAAGCCATAAACCAAAATCCGGCCCTCATCGCTTTCACTTAATTGTCATCTTCAACCATCTAACAATATCAACTTTTATCATTATTCAATTATCATCATCTCACTACCTTCACACTGACACTTATGACCACCACGCCCTATTATTCTTTGACATTTTCAATCTCGTACAGAATGATAATCCAAATTTTATAATTTTACCTCATCAAATTGGGCCAAATGAAAAGCTTTTGTAATAATTAATTTACAAAAAGAACTATTATCTTAACACTAGAGTTTTATTCGATTTTAATGGAATACTAGTTAGACCTTTTAGGTCAAATACAGATCATGAACGGACCACTTTATTTGTCCTCCTCCAGTTTATTGAAACCAGAAACCCTCAAAGCAAATCGATCCAAATTCCCAAAACAGCAAGAACCAGTGGACCACACCACAGGCCCATACACAACAGCCTGCCCGTTAATTTGAACAACAAGAACATATTCCCCTTCGACACCCACCGGCTTGCTCGACCACAAAACCTTGTAATGGTCATTCACCACTGCAAGCCGTCCATGGCCGTCAAGCCTAACAAAGCAATGCTGCCCCTTACCGTTAGTCTCGCTTTGCCACACCACTCCCACCGACGCTTTAGTAAACTCCAGATTACAGTCCTCCGTTATCTCCAAAGTGTAGTCTCTGCTCGTCAGCTTCGAGCTCTCGTGCAGAACCTGCGAGGAGAACAACACATTGCGCACAAAAGGTAGATTGCTCAACTCGGCGTCGATGGCAGCGGAAGGAGAAGAGAGTGGAGGGGTGGACCAGATCGAGGGTCCGAAGACGTTGAGAATACCGTCTGGGCCAAGGACGGCGACGTATTTGCCCTTCTTAGATCCGCCGGGAGAGGACCAGACTTGTAAGCCTTGGCCGTCTTTGATGAGGAGTTGGCCGTGATCGGAGAGGGTGAGGGTGCAATTGGTGCCAAAGCCGTGGGTGTTGGACTGGAAGCCGTTGGCTTTGTTGTATAAGATGAGATTGCAGTCGCCTTGGATGACAAAGGCGGCATCTTTTTAGGAGAGCTGGCCGTCGGTGGGGAGGATGTCGCCGGTGGCGAGGATGTTGCCCTCGTTTGCGGCGGAGGGGGAGGGGAGGAGGATGAGAGAGAGGACGGAGAGGAGAAGTGGGGTTGGCAGAGTCATGGATGCTTTGGGTTTTGCTTGCAATGTGGATTGGCTTGAACCACTGGAAGATATATAGAACGGAGCAGAGTCGCTGCATCTTGTGAGAATGGAGCTTTTTTTTTAAAAAAAAAAAAAAAAGATATTTGATAAAAAATAAAAAAATACTAAAATAGATTAAAACTTATTGAATATAGATTAGAATTAAAAAAAAATGTATTATATTATATACTTTATGTGTTTTATACGTTTATAATTATTTTTTTCTATGTTTTATGTACAGTCAATTTTATTTTGGTAAATTTTTTTACATGGGAGATTTAAAACTAAAATTTTCAAATAATTGAATACTGGTTATTTTACAATATTTATTTTACCCAAAAAAAAAAACAATATTTTGAATTAATCAGTTTTTAATCCTCCCCCTCCTCTTTCTGATGGGCTAATTTTTCCTATTGGGTCGGTTTTACCTGCTTCTTATTGCAACTCTATTACTAATTATGTTTTTGATGAAGAAATAAAAAAAGCAGTTTTTTTGGGTTCTTATGGTATGCAAAGCAGTTAGAGTCTTCTTCTTCAAGAGTTATCTTCCTAGTGGGGTAAAAGCTACTGCTATTGCCCTCATCCCCAAGCATTCCAATGCTACTTCTCTTGCAGATTTCAGGCCTATAGCTCTGTGCAATACTCTATACAAAATCATTGCAAAAGTGCTAGCTATCAGGATAAAAAATATCATGCCTTTGATTGTTAAGTGTAATCAATCGGGTTTCATCAAGGATAGAGTTTCCACAGACAACATCCTTCTGGCTAAAGAGTTACTAGCTCACACCCGTAATATTGAGGGACTAATTATTTCTGTGCTAAGCTAGATATTAAGAAGGCATTTGATAATGTCTCTAGAGAATTTTTATTAGAAAGAATGATTCTTAAAGACTTCCCTTCCAAGTATGTGGGCTGGATTAGAGCTTGTATTTCAAATGTGAACTTTTCTATTGTCATTAATGGTGCTCTTGAGGGATACTTTAATACTACGGCTGGGCTTAGGCAAGGTTGCCCCTTAAGCCCTTATCTATTCTGCATTGTGATGGACGCTTTCTCCAATTTATTAGATGAAGTGGACTTTGCTAATTCTACTGGCCTACATGTTAATTTAGAGAAGAGATCTATTTTGTTTCCTAGGAACTTGTATAACTCTGATGCTATTTTCCAAGCTTTAAATATACACAATATCAACCACCTTATCACATATTTGGGGGTTCCTTTGTCTTTTAACAGACTTAGGATTGTTGATTTCTTACCTCTTATGGAGAAAGCTACTATAAAGTTGTCTGGTTGGCATGCTAATCTGCTTTCGTTTGCGGGTAGATTGCAATTTCTCAAATATACTATTGTCAATTCGATTGCATATTGGATAAGGGGTGCCATTATACCTAAAGATGTTATCAAATTTTTTAAAAAATTAGCTCCAAATTCCTTTTGTTTTTGGAGCTGGATGTTGGAAAGAAACTTCATATGATATCATGGGAAGAGGTTTGCAAGCCCAAATGCTTTGGTGGTTTGGGATTACCTTATGTGCAAGCTCTTCAATATGCTTATAAATGCTCGGTTATTTTCCGTATGTACAATTCAGAATATGCTCTTTCTAAATGGCTGTTATTTAAGTATAATTCGCCTTGGAAGCCGCCTATCTGCATGGCTTCTTCTTTCTGGAAATCGGTTTATATAACTGCAATGGCTGCTAGGCATAATTTTATTTTCAGAATTCATGAAAATTGCCCCCTCTCACTGCATTGGGATCACTGGGTAAAAAATGAGACTATTATTGATCACCCAATGGGTAATGTTTGGCTGCAAAATACAAATCTAAGCATGCTGGTAAAATCCTTTATTTCGAATGGTAATTGGTCCCTTCCAGGTTATCTGCCTATTACGTTATACAATGTGATTAACTCCATTCCAATTGTTGACTGCAATTCGGAATGCTTAACCTGGGAAGGTAAGAATTCTGGCATCCACAGTAGATTTGGGAGTTTTATTTATGAATTCTTATGTAATCTTCCCTCTTGTAACTGGGATAAATTCATCTGGCATCCACATCACGCTTTGAGGTTTTCTTGCTACTCGTGGCTTGCTCTTAAGGGGGCTCTGAAATCTGCGGATGCTCTGAAAAGGAGGAACATCTTGGTTCCTGAAATCTGCAGTCTTTGTCATGCCAATCTTGAAAGTATTAGTCACTTATTTTTTGAATGCCAGTATTCTTTTGAAGTGATTAAGAGTATTTTTCCTACTTCTAATAGCCTCCTTCTAAGACCATCTATTCTACAACTTTTTGAATGGATAGAAGATGTCTTCAGTCACAACACTCATCTCAAAAATATTTACTTTCTTTATGTGAGCTTCTCTCTCTATTTCATTTGGAAGGAAAGAAATAGTAGAAGATTTGGTAATGTTATTAACAGTAAAACTACTACCACATCTCTTATCAAAAGTGTGGTTTTTGACAAAGTTTCCAAATGGAAAGATGGGATATCTTTACTTTGCAGATTATAAGCTCATGTGCTTTAGTTTTTCTATTCTGCTTGTCTTGGTTGATTGCTGCGTATCTGGAAGTGATATGGGAAATTTCATCTCTTTGGGATGTATTGGTATCTCGGGGGATATGGTGGATGTTCTTGCTGGCTCCAGTTTTGAGTATTTTTCTGGCTTCTCTCTTAGCTGTTGCTATCCTCGTGGCTATTTAATTAAAGACATAGACAGGACGATGATGACTGCTATTATGTTATCCCTCGGACGGCCTAATTTTGGCAACCAGGGATATGTCGACCCTCATAGTTTTTTTGATGAGCCTTTGGCATTTTTCTGAGTCCATATGTAGTTCTATGGCCTTAGTTAAATTCCATGTGCTTTAGGCTCTTTTCTTTTTGTTAGTAGTGTTAGAGCTGATTTTGTAGCTTTGAGAGCATGCTCCCACTTGTTTGGAGTTTTTCTGTTACAGCTTTTTCTCTTTACATGTAATAGCTCTTACTTAGTTCTTTAATATACGGGCCAAGCCCAAATTTTCCCCAACAAAAAAAAAAATTTACCAAATTATCAAATATTCCATAAAATAATATTCTGAAGATTTTATTGAACCAAATTACTATTTTTATACATCAAAATAAATTTCTAAGTATGCAAAAATAGTTGTATTTTCAAAATCATCCAATGAAAAATCTTATATAAATACTAAAAACGTTTAGAATCTTAATATCTACAACATATAAAAAGTTACATATTAAAAATTTTACAAATATAAAATCATCGTCATTTTTTGGTAACGGATATATAAATTTAATAAAAAAAAATATCAAAGGCACAAAATCTTTGAAATCATAAATAAGATAATAATTCCTTACAACAAGGCAAGTAAATTTTCAAACTAACTCAACTAACAAAAATCACCTCGTGACCTTCAAATTAAGATTTTCTTTTTCTCTCTCATCTTCATTCTCTAATTCATTTCTTGTTGGATGAATTGAATAGGAAAAAGCTTTTAAAAATGTTTATGTGACTTTACATTATTCTAATTTTAATTAAAATAATAATTTAATATCATATAATTATTTTAATTAATTTTTTATATAAATTTCATATATTTTTTTTGGGCTTTAAAATTAAATTATATATATATATATATATATATATATATATATATAT